CTGCCTGTTCAGTTGGGTGCTGTCCTTTCCCACACTGGCAGAGGCAGCCACTCTCCTGGATGCCTCCTTCCCAAATAAGTCTTCCTTCCTTCCTTCCTTCCTTCCTTCCTTCCTTCCTTCCTTCCTTCCTTCCTTCCTTCCTTCCTTCCTTCCTTCTTTCTCTCTCTATCTCTCTTTTGTTTTGTTTTGTTTTGTTTTGTTTTGTTTTGTTTTGTTTTGTTTTGTTTTGTTTTGTTTTTTTTCCAGCCAGGGTTCCTCTGTGTAGCTTTGTGCCATTCCTGGATCTCACTCTGTAGACAAGGCTGGCCTCAAACTCACAAAGATCTGCCTGCCTCTGCCTCCCAAGTGCTGGGATTAAAGGCGTGGGCCACCAATAAATCTATTTCTTAAAAGAGTTTGGGGTGAAGATCTTTTTCAGTGGATGCTCCCTTAAGGAGGCTGAGCAGAAAAAAAGTAATATTTTTTTCGCTGGAGCCAGAGGAGATTGCTACATTTCTGCAGGGATTTTCCCTTTAGCAGAGTGAAGCAGAAGTTACATCTGGGGCTGGAGCAGAAGGAGAAACATAGAGCTCTGCGAGGATGTTCCCATAAGGGAACTGAGCAGAGCTCAGCTGTAATGGCTCTCTCTAGGAGAGGACCAGGATTGACACATCCTGCACGGAGACCATCCTCCACCCCTGTACCCAGCTTCAGATACAGCCTGGCTTCCCTATAAGTCAGGATACCGTTCCCTCCAGAGCTGTAACACTCACAATAAAGACACTTTTCATAACAGTTGAGGCAAAAGCTTTGCTCCTCCATCCCAGTGTAGCCTCAACTAGCTGCACTCTATGAGACGATATTCAGAAATAAAGCTGTCACACCCTTTACTGGGTTAGGGCTTCAATGTCTGAAAACACACAGATCACCAAGCAGCATTCCTCAGGCCTAGGTTCCAAGGAAAACACTTTGGAGAAATGAAAAATCCAGAGATCTGGAGATCATGTACTCCAGGCTGATCATGGGCCAGCTTCTCTTTACAGGGCCTCTCAGGATAAGTAAAAAGGTGCGGCTTAAATAAAGCTTTGTGTTGCATGAACTCCGAGACTCTCCTGTTGACAGCCTCTTGTCTGTCCTTTTCATGTTCTAATAGATACTGTACCCAGAAATAGCAAGGCCACCTTTAAAATAGCATGGAAATTGTCACCAGTGGTTCAGACCAGGGAATTTGGCTTTTGTTGATGATTGAAACACCACAGCAGAGAACTACATCATGTTCTCCTCTTGACAGAGTGCTGGTGTGCGTGCGTGCGTGCGTGCGTGCGTGCGTGCGTGCGTGCGTGCGTGCGTGTGTGTGTGTGTGTGTGTGTGTGTTCTTTTTCTTCCTGGTGCCTCTACACAGCCCAGGTTGGTCTCTTACTTGCCACTGTTCACTTCCTCAGTCTCCTGATTGCAGGTTTGGACCTTCATAAGCTTTCTGGGAGTGTTTGCTTTGACATCTGAGGATTCACCTCAGCTCAGGTGGTTCCAGGCAAACCTGTCAACAGCTCCTCACATTGTCATTAACAGCTTTATGGCTGACATGAGCTCTGTTGAAGCTCTACAAGAAAATGTCATTACATATGTGATTTCTCTTTGGTTTGACGGCCTCACAACTGTAAGAGTTCAATGATCTTCCCCAGGTGCTTGTTCACTTCTTAAGATGCATCTTTCCTCAACTGCATCATCCTGACCTACTTTTTCAGGATCTTTTATTTCTCATCCTATAGAGTATGGGTCTTAAGAAGCGAAAAGGTAAATCCTGGGCACTGTTTTGAAAATGAACCTTCAACTCCCCACAGATAAAATGTTTCTAATGGAGCACAGAGTTAGTTCTCTGGCTTCGGGAGGAGATACTCAAGGGTTGACCCTGGAGAGTCTACTTGAAAGGGCACCTGTCTGGGTCCTGCAGAAGTCCCACAAAGGGCCACCATTCATGTATGCAATTGGCAAGACCATTTTTATTATTAGTATACTGGGGCCCTCTGACCAGCCGAAAGTCAGAATGGCAGTGACCTAGGCAAGGGGTGATGGGTCCTTTTAAGCCTAATTTTGGGGAGTGCCTAAAGATGTTACTTTGTCTTAGGTATAATTGGTTTGTGCAGGTGGTAATTATTGTTATTAATGTCTATTGGCTAAAAGTTAGCTGGACTCTGGTCAGGGTTAAGATCTTTTATCCTTGGACAAGCCTGGATGTTTTTCAGGCTTTGTCCTTATTTGGTTATTTGTCTAAGCCTGTGTACTTGCTGTTCCCCTTGTCCCTGTTATCTGGAGCTTCAGGGATTAATGGCTTTTTGTTTTTGAGAAGCAGGAAGTGGGGTCTAGTGAGGCCTAGTTTTTGACTTATGTATCTAGGCTAGATATTTATCTGGCCTTTTCATACCTTGTATTAAGGTCAGCTTGGAGTGAGCTAGTTAGCAGAGAGGCAAGGACTATACAATATGGCATCAGCAGTCTCTTTCTGAAACATTCTTTTGTATCTTGGAGAGCCCTGGAATCTCCTATGATGTCACCAGTGTTGTGACAACACCAAATGCCAGTGGGGCATTTGTTCACTGCCTTTACCATTAATCCATAGACATGTTTGCAAGACTGCGCAGGATGCTTTGGAGAGAGAATGGAGAGCATAAAGAGACCAGAGAGAAGTAGAAAGAAGCTGGCCTTCAACCTCAGTGTCAGACACTGGGAAATAAGTGGTCATGGGGAAGGCACAGTGAGTTCTGGGCAGGGGATGGGTGCTTCTTGGAGGATGTGGGGCTCAGGCTGGCTCTTCCAGGAGTGGAGCTCAGGAACTTGGAGCTTCTGGTCAGCAATGAGCCTATCCTGCTTCTCTAGGTTCCTAAAAGCACACCCAGAGTCAAGGATTTCTGATGGTTAGTTTGTTAATGTGTCAGGGATGGTCAGTGCTGAAGCTGCTGTTCTGGGGGCCCTCTGCTTTCACACTGAGTGGGAAGGAAGCACCGAGGGACTAATGAGGTTTCAGTACTAGCATTGCACTTCACCTCCACTGGAATGATTTACATTGTGCGTCACTAATAACAGGGAGTTAAAAGTCCCCTGGTCAAAGCTGGAGGTTCTCATACTTTACATTATTGCAATTAACAGACTAGGAACCACCAAGTACTGCTGCATACCAGTGACCCCTAAGACTTTTGAATTTTCAGCTGTGGGTGGCACAAAGATCTCCAGTGAGGCCTGAGAGCTGTTAGAGGCAGTGGACTATGACAGAGACTGTCCCCTTCCTACCAGCTCTGTGCTGTGGAATGCCATTCTATATGCTGTGAATGTGTGTTCCTGATTGATTGATAAATACAATGCTGATTGGCCAGTAGCCAGAGAGGAAGTATAGGTGGGGCAAGCAGGTGAGGAAAATTCTGGGAATAGGAAGGGTTGAGTCAGGAGTCTCCAGCCAGATACCGAGGAAGCAAGATAACAAGGCAGAACTGAGAAAAGGTACCAAGACACGGGGCTGCATATAGTTAAGAATTGTGGGTTAATTTAAGTATAGGAGCTAGTCAAGAATAAGCCTGAGCTGATGGCCAAGCAGTTATAATTAATATAAACTTCTAGCAATTATTTTATAAAAGGCTGTGGGACTGTGGGTGAGAGATTTGTCCTGACCGCAGGCCAAGGGGGACATATGAAAACTTCCAGCTACAGCTCTGGTAGTCCTGGGCTGTCAGTGAGGATGGCTTTGTGAATCTGTTGACCACATTCTGCCTCTCCATGGCTTCTCTATCACAACATGAAGGTCTGAACAAAATCAAGTGACGTGGGCATCTGAACACCATCTCAATGCTTGTGAACAGTACAAGTATTCTGGCTTCTGAAACTACATGGCCAAGAACTTTGATGCCAAGTTGCATCCTATGCAGCTGTAATAAGCCAGAGAAGGCTTTGTAACCACTCATCCCAATGGCACAGGTTGTGGTGGGTGTGGATATTACAAGACAATTGTTCTAGAACCTCCCAAGACCCTAAAGATATGCCATCATGATAGACCCAGTGCAATCAAGTTATGTATATGCAATGAGTTATGTAATCAAGGCAGAACTGCATGCAGATGTCTTCACAGAGTAGCTGAAATCTCAAGTGAGAGTCTAATGACCATCCTCAATCCCTCTTCTGAGGAAATGTCAGCAGTCCACAGGCTTCTCCTGTTGCTCTCTTGCAAGTGGGCACAGATAATCTGATCATGGTAGCTGTTTTGTTTGGAGGAACATATTCCAGACTATTGTCTTGAAATCTTACCTTCCATGTTGCACCATAAGTCTTAAATCTGATTGTCTAAGGCTTAGATCATTACTTGACTAACAGCATATTGGACCCCTGCTTTGCTGCAGTCCACTAGGAAAGAATTCTTCTGGTTCATGAAGGCCATTGAGAGCCCTGCCCTTTGGAGGTCACCTTACTGGTATCTGAGAATGACTTGGGCATGATGCTATAGCCAGTTTCTGTTGAGGACCTGCCCACTGGCTCCACCAAGATGGATGAGGTCTTGTTGACTGAGCCTGGGCTGACAAGACACTGGCCTGTCAACTTGGCCTTGAATGGACTACCCATGATGTGGTTGGGCCCATCATCTTTGCCACCAGTCAGGTAGTTTCCAGGGGCAACGGGAGTGTACACAACTTTGTACTCTTCTGGGATTCCTTGGCAATCCACTTTGACCTTGGTGCTTCTTCAATGGCAACAGATAATATCCCTGGGCCTGCTTGAGTGGTTTTGATGAAGAATTCTGATTGGATACCTGCAGTACCCTCCTCAAGCCCAGCACTTTAGGCTGACACTAGAGCCAGATTCCTTCCCTGTTTGGCCAGGCCCCCAACATGCACTTTGAAAGGGATCCTAACCATATGGCTCCCATTGAACTCAACATTGATTATCTGGCTCTAGTTCAGACACATGGCATTCCTCCACTGCTCCTGAGTGTTTATGCACCTTTGCATCAAGCTTTCTTTTTGCATCATTCAGCCTTATAGAAAAGGATGCTGGATGCCGGGCGGTGGTGGCGCACGCCTTTAATCCCAGCACTCGGGAGGCAGAGCCAGGCGGATCTCTGTGAGTTCGAGGCCAGCCTGGGCTACCAAGTGAGCTCCAGGAAAGGCGCAAAGCTACGCAGAGAAACCCTGTCTCGAAAAACCAAAAAAAAAAAAAAAAAAGAAAAAGAAAAAAGAAAAGGATGCTGGCTGGTTAAATGTCAATCCTGATTCTAATGACTCATAACAGTGAGGCAGTGAGTGTCATCTAGATGTGATGATGAGCATCAGGTAGGGTCTATCAGAGATGACCTCATGGTTAAACTTTATAGACACCTCATAGTTACCAGGCTCTTGGATAATATAAGAAATAGCACATGACCCATTTTTATGGTCATCAAATGTGATCTCTGCCTTTCTAGGCCCTCAACAACAATGAAGAGGCCTTCAGCATCTGCTTCTCAGGTCCTGATGCTGAACTCAGCTGGGATGCCTATTTCTCCCCTCTCCAGGCCAGGGCCTCCTGCCTGGATCTTATGAGCACCTCCTTCACCAAAGGGCCCGTGTGAACTGGAAGGGGTTTCACGTTACATTCTGACTATGGTATTTTACATTTATTGTGTGAATGGCCATTTCCTGGGACACTAATTGGACACAGTGAGAGTTCTTCCCCACAGACACCTTGGGTGACATGGACCAAGGGGCTGGTGACATGGGCAGATATGTCGCTGCTATTTTCTGGAACCTTCAAGTTCACATCACAGATACTGCCAACTATGGCCATAGATAGATCCTGGCTGGTCCAAGTGATGCTCTCTTTTATTCTTCCCTCACCACTGATCTTCACAGTGAATGGACTTCTAGGCACATGCTCATCCACAAATTTGTTGGAAATGATGTAGACCCCCAAGCACAGTGGGGAGGTAGGATACCTTGTGAACAATGTCCTCCAGGTAGTCTATCTAGATGTCCACATCGCTGGATCATTCTACCACCAAGAATATGCCACCATAACCTGCATCTCTTGTGTCCACAATAAAGTCAGATATCTTTAAAGTCTGGCCTTCTGACCGGCCTTGGTCATATAGACTTGGGTGCAGCACAAATTGTCAGTTTCAGACTGGATCATGAAAATGGATATGGGATTCCAGTAATGTGGTTGCCATTCTTCTTGATGCTGACTAGATGTTCACCCACCTCTCAGAGGATGAAAGAAATGCCAGTGTGGTTTTGGGGCAGCTTCTTCAGCAGACAGGGCTTGTCATGTCCAGATGGGGCTTGATATTGACTGTCATGTATTAAGGTCAGTCTCACTGATGTCCAGAAGGAAGTTGGCAGCTGATCCTTGTGGTGATATACTGTGTACCCTAACAAATTTGCCTGAAGCTCAAAGAACAGAACAAGCCACCAGATTAAACATAGAGGCCAGACAGTGGTGGCACGCACCTTAATACTAGCACTTGGGAGGCAGAGATCTGTCTAGATCTCTGTGAGTTCAAAGTCTCCCTGGACTACATGAGATTGACTCAGTTCAGAAGAGAAAACAGAGCCAGGCAGTGTTTGGATACACATTTAATCCCAACACTGGGAAGCACACATGACCTTTAATCCCAGGAAGTGATAGCTAGGTGGAGAAAGGTATATAAGGTATGAGGAGACAAGAAATAGAGGTTCCTAGAGGCTTTTCAGCTGGAGGTGCTTTTGGCTGAGGACACCCCTTTCAGCTAAAGGCTTTTTGGCTAAGGAAGCTCTTTCAGCTAAAGCCCCTTTGGCTAGAGCTCTTTCAAGTTGAGGAATTGGTGAGGTCAGAGGTGGTGGCTGTGGCTTGCTCTGATTCTTTGATCTTTCAGCTTTCACCCCAATATCAGGATCTGTTGTTTTTTTTTTTTTGTTTTTTTTTTTTTAATTATAAGACCATTTTAAGATTTGAGTTACATCTGGCATCCATCTTTTGGGGTATGAATTCACTCAGTCTGGAGCTATATGTGGTCAGAATCTCCACCACACCTAGACAAGAGTCCCTATCCTGCTGGCTAAGTTTTTGTTGTAGTCCTTCTGCAGCAAACGTCATAGGTTTTTGGGCTCTCAAAACGGCAGGAGCTGGCTACTTTTCATATTTTCCCTATGCAGATGGCTGACTCTTTTACTTCTTTCCTCTCCCGGTGGGTTTTGGCTTTCTCTAGGACCACTCCTCAGGCTCCTGTCACACCATCATCTGAATCACCATTGCAAGAAGATTTCGTGAGTCCCTTGGGATTTCTTAAAGGGAGGAATTAGTTAAAAGAAAGTTTTTTTCCCACATTAAAAAAGGGGAAACATTTTTACAATGTATTTGGTCTCTGTTTGATAATACAATGATAGACAGTCTGAAAATAGAACAATTAAATGAGAGGATAATTAATGTTGATGGGATTTATGTAATGTTAATTATAAATATTATTTGTTTGATCATTTATGTTTTATCATTTAAAAAGTAGGTTAATATGAATGCCAAGATAAAAGTTTTAGAAAGCCTGTTAAAACAGATCATAGAAATATTCAGACTCTAAAAGGAGAACCAATCTCAGCATTGCATTATAAGGTTACAGAGAAACAGCCTAAGTCTTTCAAACAGCCAACATTAATCTATCCAGTAACCTTACAGGAACTGCCAAATGATATCTATCCTTAAGGCTGTGTAAGAGCTGACTCAACTCCTGTGCAAATGTTAGATTTGAGGAGAGATTCAAAGAAGCAATAGTTTCATATGGTATCCAGTCATCTTTTGTGAAGCAGATATTAAATTTGTGGTCAACTTGTAATAGAATTATCCCTCAAGACTGGAGAGATTTGGTTACAGCAGTTTTAGAGGCTGGTCCCCAATTACAATGGAGGACCTGGTGGAAAGATGAGGCTAAAACCATTGAACAAAGGAGTAGAGCTCCAGGTATTGAAATTTGCCAAGATCGACTTCTTGCAGAAGGTGATTATGCTGATATACAAAGACAATTATTTATATGATGACCACACCCTGACTTTATACTGCATGAAGCAGCCTTGAATGCTTGGGAAAGAATTAAAGAAGGAGGAAAGAAAATTGAGTCAATTACAAAAGTTATACAGAGCCCAAAAGAAACCTTCACTGATTTCTTACAAAGACTGACATCAGCAGTGAATAGAATGATAACAAATTCAGAAGCTGAACAAATAATAATTGAATCTCTGGCTTTTGAAAATGCCAATGAACAATGCAAAAGGGTAATTAGGTCATTAAAGGCAAGCACCCTTGTAGAAATGGATCCAAGATACAATAATTATTGAGTCTCATGACTGTGAAGGTGCTTGGGTAGGAGAGGTGATTTCCAGAGGTTTAAAGAAAAATAGTAATATCAAATGTCCCAAATGCCGTAAACAAGGTCACCTAAAAAGGGACTGTAAACAAGGACCTCCTAAAAATAATGTTTTTTCAAGGAATAATCCCAATAGAACTCCCCTTCACTCTAGATTATGCAGGAGGTTTGGCAAAGGCAGACACTGTACTGATGAATGTAGATTAACAAGGGATGAAGTAATCCCTTGCCTTTGCCATTGGCAAATGCCCTGAGGAGCCTCTTGAAGAACCTACCATGTCAAATCCGTTTAGTCCTTTCCTATCATCCTGGAAGAAACTTCTTCCCAGAGCAATTAAAGAACCTAATGCTTATTGAAAAAAAAAAAAAACTATGCAGCTATGGATGATAGAACAGCTATAGAAGAGAACAAAATATTGGGAGGAACTATAAATCAAAATTGATAAAAATTAGATTGGGAACCTCCCAAAAGTTAGGGTTGGGGAAGGGTTTTGTTTTTGTCTTTCAGGAGAATGGAGGCTAAGGAATCTGAAGACCACTGGACAAATGAGACAACTGAAGAAAAACAATAAATCATGCAGAAAACGTGTCCCAAGAAAAAGATTTTCTGTAGTGAACCATGACCATGCCTAATCATGACTTTGAATTCTCCAAAAAGATGATGGGACCCTACAATGATGATTCCCTCAGGACTATGATAACACCACCAAACTGGCAAATGCCACCAAAAGATCGGCTTTGGACTATAAACTGCTCAGGACAATATTGAGATGGCTAGCTGAGATGATACAGCCTCACAGACTACTCTAGCCAGGACTTGAGACAAGCCCTGTACTTTTGATTTATACAGAGACTGGACTGTGGTAGTATTCTAATTGTACTGAAATGTGATTTTGATTGTATGTTAATAAATAAAGTTGCCCAGGGGTCAGAGCTATTAGAGCCATAGAAAGAGCATGGTGGTGGTGGCACACGCCTTTAATCCCATAGATCTCTGTGTGTTCAGGGATACAGCCAGCATTGGAGACATACGCCTTTAAGACCTAGAGGGCTGTACATACAGACAGTGACGAGGCAGTCATGTGTTTGGGTTTACAACCAATGAGAAGGCAGAATGACTTTGAAATGACTGACACACAAGGAAGTAGCTCTCTTTTGGGGAAGCTGGGACACTGCAGGAGGAAGGGTGAGATTTTAGCTCTGAGCTCTGACCTCTTGGCTTTCTCTTTTACATTGTTTCTGTGTTTCTTATTTAATAAGACGGTTGGTTACATCAACACTGGACAACAATGATACAGCTACCTCTCCTAAGACTTGACAATTAACTCAAAATATGTGTTTTCAGGATCCCCTAAAAATGCCTTTGCCCCCAGACAGCTAGAAGTAATTTAAAGAACATAACACCCACATTTGCAAGAGGTGGGGTGGGTGGTTTTTGGTCATTCAATAAGTTATGGATATTTGTCATTGTTTTGGATGGTTGATTAGAAGTTGTTATTGTTAATAGTCAGGAAATGGCTGAACAAAGGAAATTAGATTCAGGGTTCTTGTTTGAAAAGAAGAAAAGGGAAGGGAAAAAAGAGGATATATAGAAAAAGGTAGATTATTGAATCTACTCTAAAAAATGATAGCATAAAAGAGTAGGTTATTGAATCTACTCTGAAAAGAAAATATGAATATGATAAGATAAAAAGGTTGATGTACTTTTAAAAAGCAACTAATAGGCTGGGCATTTGTGGCCCATGCCTTTAATCCCAGCACTTAGGAGGCAGAGGCAGAGAGAGGCAGAGGTAGGCAGATCTCTGTGAGTTTGAGGCCAACCTGGTCTACAAAGCGAGTTCCAGGAAAGGTGCAAAGCTACACAAAGAAACCCTGTCTCCAAAAAACAAAAAACAAACAAAAAAAGCAACTACTAGTTTTAAATATTTTACATTGGATTGGATTTTTGTATGTTGAATACAAATTTTGTATATTGATACAAATTTGAGATTGATTTTATTACAATATACTGTATATATATTTCTAAACTTGTTCAAGGTATTGTATATATATAGTTCATTTAACAATGTAATGCAAATTTCTAGTCTTTGAAAGTTATTATTACCAACAAATTAGTATATAAAGAAGTGTAAGAAGAGTAGAAAATAAATAAGGTACAACACTTTGGATTCACCAAATAGGATAAATAATGGAGTATTTTCTCTGAATCTGTCAAATGTCAATAGTCTAGATATTATTAATGTAATTATTGATTGTATATATGGTATATACTTACTGTACTTATTGTATATAGTTTTTCTTATGTTAGTTATAATGTTCCTTTATTATTTTAGACAAAAAGGGGAAATGTAGTGATACATTGTGTATTCTAATAAATTTGCCTAAAGATCAGAGAACAGAACAAGCCACTAGATTAAACATAGAGGCCAGAGAGTGATGGCACACAGCTTTAATGCTAGCACTTGGGGAGGGGGGTAGAGATCCATCTGGATCTTTGTGAATTTAAAGGTTATATGAGATTGACTCAGTCTTGGAGAGAGAACAGAGCCAGGCAGTGTTGGAATATACCTTTAATCCCAGTACTGGGAACTACACATGCCTTTAATCCCAGGAAGTGATGGGTGGGTGGAGAAAGTTACATAAGGCATAAGGATACAGGAAATAGGGGCTTTATGACTGGAGGTGCTTTTGGCTGAGGAAGCCTCTTTTAGCTGAAGGCTTTTTGACTAAGGAAGCTCTCTCAGCTGGAGCTCTTTCAAGCTGAGGAGTTGGTAAGAGGTGGTGGCTGTGGCTTGCTCTGCTTCTTTGATCTTTCAGCTTTCACCCCAATATCAACTTCCAGATTTTTATTTAAAGATTTTTAGAAATTTGAACAACAGATCCTAGCTTCATATGTGAGTAGCTTGTGCTTGTCATTATACTTGAGCAGGGTGCTGTAGTCACCAGGCAGGGTGGGCAAGTAGGTCACTGTTCATGTCCCATCTTTGTTGTCAATGCAGCTGATTTCTGCTTTTGAGGGTCAGTCCTTCAGTAGCAAAATTCAAACCACCTTCTCCTGCATCTTCTGTGACAATGGTAAATGAGGCATTTTTTGTTGGCTACTCCATACACAAGGCCTGGACCATATGCAGAAAGGCTCCCACTATTATGTAGTTCACACAGAACAGGAGAGGGCTTTCAGGGATGTAGCTGCCCATGTATTTGATGTGCCTCTTGTGAAGCCTGACATCAGTGTGGGCATATCTGACAGTGACCGTGCTATCTTTGTTGTCCATGATCTCAGCTGTAGCTTTCTTCCCAGAGACATATACACCTCTTCTGTGATTTCTCCTTTCCTGACAGCAAATGAAATTGTAAGTAAATTTGTTGCAACTCTGTAGATCTGGTCCCAGATTTTGACACCAAAACGTGAGTTTTGCAATTCTTTTTTTTTTTTTTTTTTTTTT